GCTCTGTCTCCTACCACACAGCTCAACACACAGCAAGCCTGATACAGGGCAGGTCAGTGCAACTTCATACACATTCACATGATAAGTGACTCAAAGCCTAGTATCACACACACACACACACACACACACACACACACACACACACACACATACACACACACACAGGACAACAGACCTGAAGTCAAACCCTACTTACTCTTCTCTGACTGAACAACCCAGAGAAATCGCTTGGCCGTTCTGAAATTCTCCAGGATTTATTGGGATAAATTATAACCGCTAGAGTGCCTTGTGGTTGAAATGGCCTAGTAGATGGGAAGTACACCAGATCTGGCCCCTCCTAAGGACACTACCTACTCTTAACACTCCAGACTTAGTCTGGTAGCCTAGCACAGTTTCTCCTCCTCGGCATTCCTTGGCCCGACAGAGAGACAACAGCTGCTGCTTTCAGCCCCCATGGGCTGGGCCAAGTGCTAGTCCAGGCACCCTACTTCTTTCAATAGCAGAGAGAACAGGTACCTGCTACTCTAGTTTGCAGCGAGCTGGACTGAGAACACTGGGTGGGCAAGAAAACTTTACGTGGACCCCTCCTCTCTGCCACATCCAGCTCAGTCATTTTCCATGCTACTGACAGTCCTCCCACAGCTGGCACCCTCTTCTCCCCCTCAAGCCACACCCCCTTCCCTGCAGAGGAAGGTGACAGGAGCTGAGTTCAGGACCCCTCTTGGCCAGGGCTCTGCCCTGCTGGGACATCTTCTGGCTGTGTCCTGCTGGGCAAATTGCTCCAGCTCTCTGTACCTTGTATTTCCTTGTATATCTGAAAAGTCAAAATAACAACCTCTAGGGCTGCTGCAAGGATGGGGCCTAGCCCTTGTGGAACCATGTCTTCACTGCACACTTCAGGCCTGCTCTGTGCTCCTTATGTCCTCAGACCCTCAGTTTTTATGCTAATAAGTAGCCCCCATTCAGGGGCCTCACCCTGCAGTGCCCCCAAAGTCCCTGTGACATCAAGCACTATAGTGGGTCTTAGCCAGTGACTGACAGATGCAAGAGTTTGAAAGCTCTGTCCTCACCAAACTATGTGACATGCCCCCCCCCCATGGGGCAGGTAGGGCATTTCCTGAAGTCATTATCTTGCTTGGGTTCCTACCTTCCTTGGGCAGGCCTATAGCCTCACCAGACCCCTGGCCCAGGTCTACCTTCCTAGTGAATATTTGTCCCCAGGTCTGCTCCTCAGACCCCAGCCTAAGCAACAAGTCAGGGTGCTGAGCTTGGCTCGGGCTCCAGGCAGACGCTCAACACACTCCATCCACTACCAGTCTCTCCTGGAGTGTGTGACCATGGGCAAACATCCAGCCACTACCAATCTCTCTCCTGGAGCTGTGTGACCACAAGCAAACAGAATTGTCCTTTAGTAACTACAGGGTGTTGGTTCCAAACGCCACCCAAGTATTAAAGTCTAATGATGTTCATCCCTTATATAAAACGATGTAGTGTCTGCATAGAACTCGTGTACATCCTCCTGTACTTTGCATCTTTGGATGACTTGTGGTACCTAGTACAGTGTAAGTGCTGCCCAGAGTTGTATTACACAACTTTCTGGCAGGTGTGGTGGACCTGCCTGCTTTTCCTTTGGAGCAGGAATCCTGTCCTGCCAGGTGAGGAGATAAAATAGCTGGTGTGAGCCCAAAGTGACGACATAGTAAACTATGAGTCTTTTAACCCTGGAATGCCCTCACCCTAACAGGCACTCGGGGAGCAAGGCTCTGTATCAAGACTTTCCACCAGCACAGAGAACCCCCAAACTGCTTGCTCTCGCCTCTCCCCAGCCATTGCTGAAGTTCTATATAGTCATCAGACATTAAAATCATAAAAATGTGGGACTGGAAGGGACATCACAGCCAACTCCCATCAAATGCTGAAACTCCTCTCTGGCACCCTCACTCACTTGGCCTGTTTGGATTCCTTCAGAGCCTTCCCCACAAGGCCCTTCCCGAAGGTCACTTCTGAGCACCTCTAAGCATGTTGTTGAACACAGTGAGCCTTTCTGTGTCCCTGATCATGAACAGACATCTACAAAGTGCCTCTCCTGCATACACTGGGGACACAGCGGAAGTCATACCCTGCCGGGGACCCTGAAGAAGCAGCAGAGAGATAAGATTCTCTGCCCTCAGGACCCCCAACTCCTCAGAGCTGCCCCAAAGTGGCAGGTACGGTGTCTGAGGATTCCTAGATCCAGTCCAAATCTCCATGGGGTAAGGTCACGGTCGTGCCATGTCAAAGCACCACTCAAGGTGAAGCCTAAATCTGCCTCAAATTGTCCACACCCTTCCTCACTCCCCCATCAGGCCCCTTCCCCCAGACAAGCCAAGGTAAGCCTGAAGGCTAAGGTCTGACTTGAAGCACACCCCCCTCGCCCACGCTCCATTACTAGGTCTAGACTTTACTGTCTGGATCTAACTCCAGCCACTCATGGCTACAGGAGACCCAGTGCAGTCCCAGGCCAACGGAGGGGGTGGACAGCTGGGCTGGGTGATGGGTGGTTTTAATATTTAAACACAGCTTCCCGCTGTACAGCCACGGGCAAAAGCAGCTGTGTCCTTTTTCTTCTCCTCCTTCTGCTTCCTTCCTTCCCCTTTTTTTTTTTTTTTTAATCTTTAATGTCTCCCACCAGGCGCTGGTGGGGAGGCATCAGCCCTGTGCCATATATCAAAGAATTGCCACAGCTGGAGGGATATTCGGAGCATTCCCAGCCAATCCATTGTGTATAAATATATAGATATATATATATAGGTTTCATTATCCCCTTCAGGGCTGCCAGAGAATATATTCTTTTAATATGTATAATATATTTGAGCTGCTACTTGACTCAGGGAGGAGGGAGAGCCCACCATTGACATTTCCCAGGCATTTCCAGTGAAAGAGAAACAGCTGACTTTGGGGAAAGGGCAGGGTCCCATCGGTCAAGGTGGATCTCAGGGCCCTGTTGTGGTGTTTCAAATGTAACCCCAGTCTTGTTCCTGGACCCCACCTTGGGATTTTTCTCAGTCCTTTAAGGAGATTTGTATGATCTTCTTGAGTACCCCGAGTTTCCTGCTGCTTAGGGATGCTCTGCTCTAACAATAGCTTTGAGTTGCAGCTTGCAGCCACCACAGTTCATCCAGTGGGTGTTTAAGGACATGTGCTTGCTGTGCGACCTTGGGCAGGCTGCATGCACCATCTGAAGCCCAGTGCTTCATTTAGAGATGGAGGCAGCAGGAGGAGCTTGCAGCATGAGTGGAGCTCAGCTATGAACATCCCTTAGTGTGGAAGGTGTGTGAGCCAGGCTCACTTGCACCAAGAGAGAAGAGACGTGAAGAATGAGTCCCACAAGGATCAAGGAAAGAGAATGCCCCTCAGGTCTCCCCAGCCTGCCCGGGCAAGGGATGTCTTGGCCATGGCTTGGCTGTAGCATCCCCCATCCACCTCCAAGGATGGGTTCTGCTGTTTGCCCTGCCTGGATGGTGTCCCTCTGCCACTGTCCAGGGTACAAAACAATAATTTAAAAAAGAAGCCAAAAGATAAAGGTGCTTTGTTGTCGTGGCCTTCCCGCACCCGAAACTACCATCACCACTTCAGCCCTCACCTGGATGACAGAGGTCACTGGAGTCCTAGGGGGTACAAATGCTCAGCACTGGGGAGGGAGGGTTCCACGAGTTAGCACAGCTGAGGACTTCTCAGCCTCACCTGGACTCAAGGATGGGTCTGCCACAGTGCCAGGGTGATCTGAGGCCTGGCAGAGGTCTGGAGCCTGATGCTGGTAGAACCACAACCCAACCATCCCAAGGACAGGGCAAAAAGAGGAAAGGCAGGGCCCGAGACCCGGTTCTGGGCTTCCTCCATTCCTGCCTACAAATCCTGCCAGTCCCCTCCCACCTTGGCCAAGAACACCTTGGCACATCAGCCAGCATCCCTGCCTGTCCCCTCCCTCTTGACCCTGCTGTGACAGCCACACAGAGACCCTGCTGAATTATGATATCAGTTTCCTCTGGGCTTTGGGCTGCTGTCAGACCCCCAACCCAGAAGCCACAGGAGCTTTCATGAAAATGACTGAGATTTTTCCTTTTCTGTGTCTCTCCTTCTGCCTACCTGGCCTCTGCATGGCTGACTCCATCTCATCTGTCAGCTCATGGCTTAAATGTTCATCAGCCGTTTCTCAAGCAATCAATTAATCAGTTTTTAAGACAGGCTCTTTCTATATAGCCCAGGCTAGTCTCAAAATTGTGATTTTTCAGTCCTAGCCTCCCACACTCGGGGAGTGAGGGGCCCAAAGAGTAGAGGCAGATCAGCTCACCCAGCACACCCCGAGAGTCAGGCTGCCTAGGAAGGCCCTACCTTGGGATCACTGCCCTACTGTCCCACTGTCCAGATACACAAATCCGGGAATGGGCAGGACCCAGATGTGGTGTGATTGGACAGTACCCGGCCGTCTCTGAAGCCACTGGGCTGAAAAAGGCAGGAGGGGAGCAGGAGGTATGTTTCCCAACGTGCCAATGTTACAGAAGAGGGGACATGAGGGTGGAGGTGGGCACAGGTGGAGGAGGGGTTGAAACTTTAACCGTGACCTTACCTTAGCTCACATACTTCCTGGAAGCTTCAGATGTCTGAAGGGACAAAAGTCAGAGTCCAAACCCTTGCCTCTGAGTGGCTCTAGGCCGCTTAGCTAGAGAAAAGCACCTCATCTCGTGCTCATGAAGTCTAAAGAGAGGCTTGGTATTATGGAACCGGGATTTTAGAGATTAAGCAATCTCCTTCCACAATCTCCCTTTCTTTTTTTTTCGGAGCAGAGGGGATAGCCTCAGCCAGCCTGAGAGTGGACGCTCCTTCCATGGTGGCCTCTCCGCGGAACGTGGGCGCCACCTAGTGGACAGCTGTGAACATGCAGGCCTGGCCCTCCACCTGCAGCGCCACAAGTACTCCGGACAGACACAGACACATAAACATCCACCAGACCACCCTAAACGTATGCACGATGCCAGTCCTCCTTTACTTGGTCAGATAGCATTCGTAAGACATAATAGCAGTTAGTGGAAGTGTAGATGGGGCTTGAATGCATGGCTTGGGATGTCCACAGGCTCTGTGTCCCGTGTTCCCAAGGAGTGGGAGGGTGGAGATGGAACCAGGTCTCCCCAGGAAGAAGCAACGACGCAGGGGCACTGCCCATCTCAGCATCTCGTCTGCCCTCGCTCAGGCTGTGGTTTCAAGCCTCATATGGGTGCTCTCCCGCTCAGGGACTACATCCTGCAGGGGAAAAAGAAAAAAACCGGATTCATCATCCGGGGTGAAAACCCTTAGATTTGAAATTGGGGCTGCTGGCTTTTCACTGTGCAGACAGTGTTTTGTGCCTGCTGAGCACTGCTTCTTGGCAGAGCACTCCCAACCCTGTGTTGACCTCCAGCGGGGTATGGACAAGTTAGAAACTAAAGCCAGATAGCTAAAATGAGATGGCTGCTTGCAGTCCCAGCACTCGGGAGGCAGAAGCAGGGGGTTCCTGGAGCAAGATGGCTAACTAGATGGGATTAAGGAGCTCTGGGTTCAGCTAGAGAACCTGCCTCAATAGAGAATGAAAGAATACACCTGACTACACGAGTGCTCGCTCGCCCACGCACACCACACACACACACACACACACACACACACACACACACACACACACACACACACACACACACACACACACACGGGGGGGGGGGGGGGGGGGAGCAACTACATAAGGTAAGAAAGGCTAGTCGATAACCCAGAGATTACTAACATGGGAAATAAATAAAACCACACACCCCTGTGTGGATTGTGTCAGTATGGTTTGCCCCAGAAACTTACATTGAATTTAATCCTCATGGTGATCTATTAAGAGGTGGGACAGTGGCGGCACACGCCTTTAATCCCAGCACTCGGGTAGCAGAAACAGGCCAATCTCTGTTAGTTTGAGGCCAGCCTGGTCTACAGAGTGAGTCCAGGGCAGGCTACAAAGCTACAAAGAAACCCTGTCATGAAAAAGAAAAAATAAAGAGGAGATGGGACCACCAAGAGGCTGGGCTTCCACCCTCACCAGTTACTCACATGAGTAACTGGACTCATGAGATTAGAGGATGAAGAGATTAATGGTCTCTCCTGAGGGTGGGCTTGCAATAAGAGCCAGTGTGGTCAGGTCTGCCACGGGTTCTGTGCATTTTCCCTGTACCACACCAGGACTCAGCAAAGCCATCTGCAGAGCTAGCCCCTCCTCCTTGGGCTAGAGTCAGGAGCTAAAACAAACCTTCCCATCAGTTTACCATTTGCAACTAATGTTTTCTAGTGTGAGTATGTATGTATATTAGTTAGGGTTTCTATTGCCATGATAAACCACCACAACCAAAAAGAAACTTGGGGAGGAAAACGTTTTATTTCAGCTGGCAACTCTGAGGAAAGTTAGGAAAGGAACCTGGAGGCTGGACTGATGCAGAGGCTATCAGAAGTATTTTTACTGGCTTGCTCACTCGTGGCTGGTTCGGCCTGCTTTCTTACAGCACCCAGAACTCACCTGTCCAGGGGTGACATGGCCCCAGTGAGCAGAGCCCTCCCATGTAATTCATCAGTGGAGAAAATGCATTGCAAACTTGCCCACAGGCCAATCTGATGGGGTTATTGTCTCAGCGGCAGTCTTTTCCAAAAATGACTCTAGCTTGTGTCAAGTTGACATAAACTAGCCAGCACAAGATGAGGGAGTGTACATGCCATGCTAGCAAGTTCTAGGATTGACTGAGAGACCCTGCCTCAGTGAAGAAGGCAGAACAACAATGGAGCATGAGTCACTATATCAACCTCTGGCATCTAAAGCAGATGTCCTCAACCTTCCTAAGACTGCAACCCTTTAATACAGTTCCTAGTTCTGCGGTGACTCCCAACCATAAAATTATTTTGTTGCTTCTTCATAACCATAATTTTTCTACTGTTATGATGGCGTAAATATCTGATGCAACCCCAAAGGGGGTCGCACCCTGCATGTTGAGAATCACTGCTCTACAAGCGCACACACATTGTGAGAGGGAGCCGAGGCAGTCTCGTGAGCCCAGCTTGCAGCTGAAGTTGACCTTGAACTCCCCATCCTTCTGCTCCTGCTTCCAGAGCGCTGGGGTTGTGAGTTTATCTTTTCTATTCTGGTCCTCTTTTTGTGTGATGGGATTGGTGGGAATGAAGCCCAGAGCCCCACACACCAGGCAAGTGCTCTGCCTCTGCCTGTCTGTTCTAGGTCTACCCCTCTGCTAGTGCAGCACTGTCTAAATTCCTATATATCAACCCAAGTAATTCCTCCCACTTTGTTCTCCTGGGCTTTATTATCTGGGGCTTGTGCCTCTCTATAGAAGCTTTAAAATAGGTTTGCCTATGCCTACAGAAAGCTTTTCTTGGATTTTTATGGGGATTACACTAAAAAATGTAGATCTTTTGGAGAGAATTGACTTTTTACTATGTTAATTCTGATCCAGGAGCCGCCACTTAGATCTTCTCTGGTTTCATTCTTCAGAATTCTGTCATCTTCTAAGCACAGATTCTGCAGGTGTGTGGACCTCTCTCTTCTTGGAAACATTGCATACGGTATTGTTTTCATATGACACCCCCCCCCATATGTTTGTTTTGTTTGAAACAAGCCAAAGTTCCTTGACCTTACGAGACTGATTCAGTCGGGTTCCAATTCCCTAGGGAAGGGAAGGCGAAGCTGTGGGAGAGCATCCCCCGCCCAGCCAGGAGGAAACAAATTCAACTGCAGAATAGAGACTCCTTAATTTTTCTTGAATCCATCAGAGAACTGAGGTCACTTGGTCACCAAGGGTGACTACCTGCTAGAAGAAGCATCAGGACCCACTGCAGGGTCTGTGCAAGATGCTCCAGGGACCAGTCCGGCCCTTGCTGGGAGCCTTACTCTGTAGAGTAACTTGGAAAACACACACTCTCGACACCCCCCCACACACACACACACCCTCTCTCACATACACACATCACATGAAGTGATCTGTGACCTCCAATCAGCAAGGGCCAGCAAAAGCCCAGGGGTCATGGCAAGTGTGTCTTCCATAGTGACCTGAGGCAGATGGCATTTCATATACAGGTCCCACTTACAGTGCAGTTGAGAAGCCCCAGAAATCAGCCCTCAGCCCTCAAACCCTTGGGACAATGTAATGGGATGCACGTGGGTGTGGTAAGGCAGCCTGTCCCTTACCAGCTGTTCCTCATCTCAGGATGTCCTGGCCACTAGGAATTTGTGTTATTCTTAACAGATTTAAGCAGGAAAGACAGGAGATTGGCTCAGTCCAAGGCCACCCAGGGAGCTGGCCTCCTGTAAATAGCTTATCCCTGTTGCTTTCCAGAATCTTCTATCCTATAGCACAAAAACAATACATTCTTGGAAGAAGGACAAGAAACCTTCATTTCTGGGCTCCACTGCCTCTGGGGAAATAGACACAAGAGTGGTGTGGCTTTGTGAAGAAGGGAGAAGGTCTCATCCCATGGGAGGGACCCACGACTGAGAAGGAGGCATCTGTCCTGGAGGGCAGCAGGTCTCCCACCCAATCCACCTGTTGAAACCCAATCGCCAACGTGATGGTGTTGCAAAGTGGGGCCTTTGGAAGGCGGCCAAAGCCTTCATGAGTAGCAGATATCAGAGAGCTAGCTCCCTCCTTTCACTATGTGAGGACTTGGCTACAAAGTACTGCCTAGTTAGTTTTAACTGTCACTTTGACACAGGCTACAGTTACCCAGGAAGTCTCAGTTGAGGGATTATCCAGAGCAAACCAGTCTATGGATGATTGTCTGGCTTGTTAATTAACAAGGAGGGCCTGGCCCTCTGTGGGAGGCGTGTTCCCTAGGCAGGTGGTCCTGGGCTGTACAAGAAAGCTAACCCAGCATGAGACTGCAAAGCAGTCCAACAAGCAATGCTCCTCCATAGCCTCTACTTCAAGTTTCTGCTTTTAAGAGTTCCTCCTCTCACTCTCCTAGTAATGGACTGTGTGCTGGCTAGTCCCAGGTCAACTTGACACACACACAAACTAGAGTTATCTGAAAGGAAAGGAGGGAACCTTAATTGAGAAAGTGCCTCCCTAAGAACTGGGCTGAAAGGCATTTTCTTAGTAATGATTCATGGTGTAGGGTTCAGTGTAGTTGGGTTTTGTTTGGTTGGTTGGTTGGTTTTGTTGTTTTGTTTTCTCTTTGGGTGCCTTCCACCCAGCTCCCAAATAAATACATGGAGACGTATTCTTACTTATAAATGCCCAACCTTAGCTTGGCTTTTTCTAGCCAGCTTTTCTAAATTCAGTTACCCTGTTTCTCCTTAACTATGAGTTGCCTCTGAGCTTTTTACCTTTCTTTATTCTATATATCTTTCTTTCCTTCTTTCTCTGTGTCTGGCTGTGTGACTAAGTGGCTGGTCCCTGGTGTCCTCCTCTCCTCTTTTTCTCACTCCTAATTATTCTCTGCCTGCCAACCCTGCCTATCCCTCTCTCCTGCCTAGCTATTGGCTATTCAGCTCTTTATTAAACAAATCAGTTGTTTAAGATAGGCAAAGTAACACAGCTTTACAGAGTTAAGCAAATGTAGCATAAAAGAATGCAACACATCTTTGCATCTTTAAACAAATATTCCACAGCATAAACAAATGCAACATACCTTAAACTAATATTCCACAACATTTCCCCTTTGTCTAAATAAAAATGAAAGGTTTTAACTTTAACTTACTAAGTCTATATTCGACAAAACAGTTAATACTAACATATAAGAATTACATTTACAATATTAAGTCTATTTGTATTTGGCAAACTCAGAGAAAATACTCGATTACCTATCTCATCTTAATGATTCCAAAGTTTTATGCCTAATATAGTTTCTATCATAACTAAGGGAAACTATGACTCTATTTAGTATTTAACTCCATCAAAGACCCCAGGAGGATGTAATATTACTTAACAACAGCGACATCTGATTGCCTGGATAGTCACCCAAACTTCCTCTGCAACATTGGGGCATCCATCTTTAACCTACAGGCTTAGAATATCTGGCAGACTTTTCAGTGAAGCAGAAAATTTGAAGGACTGTCTCACGTTGTATTGGCAAAGTTCATCAGTCACTTTCCTCTGTGTCCTGCAGAATCTCTGGCAGACTCTTCTGTGAAGCAGGAATCTCAAAGGACTATCCTTCTTGTCTTAGCAGAGTTCAACAGACTTTTTCCTGTTTTGCTTTTCCAGTCTGTACAGCATACTCTCAGGGTTAAAGTC